TTAAGCAGGACACTAGAAGAAGGTGCCGTCAGTTGAGAAAAGCCCGGGCCCAGCCCAGTTCTGAGTACCGTCTCCTCAGTGCCTGCTGAGCAGGGAAGGACACGGCCTCCCGAGAGAAAGCGCCCTGCTGAGCCTGAGCGCGGCCCATGCCGCGGAGCCGGGGGTGCCTTCTGTGCGGCTGGCGGGCTCTTTGCAAATGCGTCCATCTCCATCCTCCTATCATTTTTCAGACCTGGCCCTTCCCAGATGTGCTGGAATGCTGCCTCGTCCTGCTTCACATTGGGTCCCAGTGTCCTGGCTGCGTAACCCAAGAACTGCAGCAACAGGCCCAAGAGCTCCTTAGGAAATACGGCAGTACTAAAGTGCACGGAAGACACTGCCGGACCTTCTGCACGTGAACCCTCAAGGGCCTCGTGGAAGCTGCCGCAGAAAGACCGACTCTTCCGTCTCCGCAGTTCCACCGCAGCGGGCACTCGCTGACCCCTGGACGCAGCTGCAGTAATGCAGACCAACACAAGAGGGGTGAGCTTCATCAGCTCTGTCTACCCGCAGACAAAGCGCAGTCTGACTTTGGCCTCAGCTGTGGTTTGCCACAGACTGAAGGAAAGATCACAGAAAGCCAGCAGTCGTTACAGCCAGCGCCTGCACGGTGACTGTGGTCATCTCGAAGCCTTACGCGGTTTCACCCCAAGAGGAGAAACTCTGCAATCACCCAAAGTATTGTTCCTGAGCGCAGGCACCTTTATAAACCCTTCGTCTGATCACAAGTGGCGCGTTCTTGTTGGAGACAGAACTGCCACACTTGACTTTTGGTGTGTAGTTTGTTTGGTTTTGCTTTTGTTAACCCCAGCCCTGCCCCCTCCTCTCTCCCCGAAGTGTGAAGTGTGAAGTGGGCCTCACCCACCGTGCTGGTCCTGTCCTGTCTCAGCGCTGGGCTAAAACTTGGGTTTTCCTCTTTCATGGAATTGCTTATTTGGATAAAGCACTGAAGTTTTGCAAGAACGAATGATTCACTCAGATGTGCACTCTCCCTTCAGTGTTGTACCAGGCGACGGATGGCAGTGAAATAGCTCAGAACAAATCACTGTGTCGGTGGCTCTTCTTTGGGGTGGCCAGGGAGCTCTTTTTAGAACAGTATTAAAACCACAGCTACTCCCTGTCTCCCGCAGGTCAGTGTCTTTGTTACTTGCTTTTGTTTTACATGCTTGCTACTAATCAGTAGTGAGCTTTACGCCTTTGGGGTGATTGTCCTGTCAGTGCGACAGAGCACATCCTGTATCCGGTCACCTGCTGCGGCTCTCTTGGGGTCTTACTCGTCCCGGTCTGGACCGGCGCATCCCCAGGACCGCTGCACTGTTCGCTGCCCACTGGCTCCCTTTGCTGACTCTTGAGCTGAGTGCGTGTTTCCTGGACCCCGCCTCTTCCTCCTGCTCGGCCTACTTCCTCAGAGGATTCACTTACTCAACAAGAACATTTATTGAGCTTGTGTCTGGACAGTGCTCAGCTCTAGGGATACAGAAATAAGAACAGTGTCCCTGCTTAAAATTAGAGGTATCTGGACCACAGAAACATAATGGCCAAAGTGACCTCAGTCAGGAGCAGGTGCTCCGTCACCCAGGAGTAAAGTACATGCAAAGCCATAGATACTCTCTGGGGAAAAATGCACGTTCCTGATTTTACATCTGTGACCTTCGGATCACTGGACTAGCACGATGGAATCTAAGTACTGTTTAACTACAAATCCTTGTTCTCTCCTCTGTGGTTACTTGAACAGTTGAACAATTCAGAAACATGCTTCTGTAGCATCCACTTCCTAGGACAGGAAAGTCACTGTGTCCACGGAGATGGGAGGCACTCTCCTTCCCAACAAGTGAATGTGTTAAGAGTCACTGGGAAGACTTCTGTTTGAACAAGGTCAGTTGTGTGTGCCTCACTGTGGAGTTTTAAAATATACGTTAAACCCAAAAAAAGAAATATTGCATAATTTAAATCCTCACAGTTCTTCACCCAGTTAAGCAAATTCTAGGAAGAGGATGCCTTGGTCCTCAGCATGGGGAATTTTGATTGCAAAGGGAGTAAAACTAGGTAGCAGGCTCAGTGGTCTGCTAAAATTAACAACTTCACTTACCAGATGGCAAATAACTCACCCCCTTCCACTTGAGTAAAGAGCACTTATTAAACTAGAAATTGTAAATTATGCTGTAATTTACCAAAACCATCACCAGTGGATAGAGAAACCCTGCACACCCGTAATTACTGTGTGGGTAAGACCAAGAATCACTGCTTGAAAACTGCACTACAACTACCCAGTGCCAGGAGAGTCACGAAAATGACAACTCACTTTCCTCTTAAGCTCCTCTTTCCAATGCTATATAATGTACTCAAACTATTACAATTTGAGCTTATCATTTTTATGTCCTTGATTACCAGGCCCACAATGAGCCAGGCCACCAAGGTTACTGAGTGAGGAGGATGGATCACTAAGCAATTTTTGGACCTTTATTCCCACCCAAAGTAACCTGCACAGTACACAAAGCAGCATGCAGACACACCCGTCACCCCGTCACCTCCCAGCGTGTCCCAGACGTGGTTTGTTACATGCTTCCCTAGTGCCAGCGACTGAACCCAGCACCTCGGCCCTCAGCTACATCCTCAGCCCCAGGCCCTTTTTTATTTTGAGACAGTCTGAGTTTTCCAGGGTGGGCTTGAACCTGCACTCCTGACTCCGCCTTCCCCTGTCTATGCCACCGTGCCGGGCTTTCCGAATCTGCTCTTTTGCTAATTCTCCATTCTTTACCTAGCAGTGACTATTGGAAATCGCTTATTACTTCCCTTCTTAAAAATCCATAAGTAGCTATGGGAACGTGGATCTTGGGAACAGACAAGAATCTTGAAGCGGCCTCTGGACTGCCAACCCCAGCCTCTCCTGTTGACCTCCTGTCAGGACGTCGTGCCTCAATTCCAGCCACACGAGTCTCTTGGCTGCTGGAACCCTTAAACTTCTGTCACCTGTGAGGTTCTGCCTGTGTTGTTCCTGTCTGGATGACTTACACTCACCTTTTAGATCTCGGCCGAAGTTTCCTTTTTTGTAAGATCTGTCATTAAGCCAGGCAGTGTGGTACTCACCTGTAATCCCAACACTCAGGTGGCTGAGGCAGGAGGATCACAAGTTCATGGCCAGATTAGGTGACACAGTCTAAAATAAAAAGACTGTCCCTGAACATCACCCTGTTACAACAGTGTCTTAAACCTTACAGTTCAAACTGAATTTGTGTGGATTACTGACTGGCAACAAAGGCAAATCGTAAACGCCAGCGAAGGTGACGTGGGTCTTCTCTGGTGCTGTGCTTTATCCCTAGCACCTGTTAAGTGTCTGGTACTTAGTAGGTGCTTAATGAAAACTTACCAACTGAACGAAGTGGGATATCAACATATCCCGCTTCTTTCAGCTTGGACTTGCAAGGCTCTAAGTGGGCTGGGGACTAGACTTGGGGCCAGCCAGCACCAGGGGAAGACTGTCTGGCAGTGTACATAGAGGTGACTTAAGCCAAGGTAGTTCTCTCGTTCACCACCACCCTTTTTGGGGATAACCATTTACACAGCCTTATACTCACACACACCACACAGCGTTCTGGACAGTTCTTCATAGACTGCTCTTTCTTTGGTACCACTTCAATAGGACATCTCCCGCCTCCCCCCGAAGGAACAGACCCCAGCTCCACACTGTCCAGCCCTTCATCTCCGCATCTCCCCTTGGCATGTACGTCCGTCCTCAAGTCCCTCCTTTAATCAAAATTTAGAACATGTAGAGCTCAGCCACCAGAACCACCGAGTGTGCCCTCGCCTGTCTTGCACAGTGGTGTGACTCTTTCCTCTCATGTGAGCCTCACAGCCAGAACTCCAGAGCTGCCAGGGGCACGGGCACATCTGTAGGCCGATACTCAGGGCAGAGGCAGAAGACCACTCGGGCCACGAGTTCGAAGCCAGGGAGCGACGGAAGAACCCGACTCAACAAAATTAAGGTAAGTTCTAGTTCGGCCCCTACACCTGACTACACCTCTGTATTTTAGTGCCAGCAGAAAAGGCTGCAGACAGTTGAGTCAAATCGAAGATATCTGAACTTTAATCTGTCCTGCAGAATTCTACTAACTGACAAGTTAATCCACCATGTGGAGTGGTCCTAGGAAATAAAACTGGCTTCCTAGTAAAGTCCAGACAGCAGTGTGAAGCAAAGAAACAATTACATTTACACATGTTCATTAAAATCCTACCAGTAAGACTTCTTTATTTAGAACATTCATGACGGGGCCACAGGCAGCTCTACTTTGAATTCCACTGTTCCCACGGGCTTGAGCCACACGTATGACTGTCCCGTCAGGCAGCCTGGATCGCCTCTCAGGGGTCTCTGATTAAAATAATCCAAAGAAAGGCGCTGGTTCTGCAGACCAGATCCCATCCTATCACACAGGGCCTTAAGGAAAACATTACAGTGGTATAAAAACCTGCTAGTACAGCTGATCTGTGGTACAGCAGTTATAAATGTGTATTATATACACCACCAATGGGAGTATTCCTAAGACTTCCATGTTAAAATTTAGGGAATTAATTACGATAAACTATTCATTTACTGATAAACTATTCACTACTGATAAACAATTTCTTTTAATTTAATGTCATAAATTTGACTATTGTAATAATTATAATTGGTACAAATAGTATTAATACTTACAGCTAGGCTATTATCCACATTCAAGCACCTAACTAGAGTCAGCCCATTTATAGACTCTATCAATTTTATTAGTAAAACAACCAATGAAAGTGATCAGATCTATGTGTACCAGCAGTAGTTCGAGCCAGCCACTGGGACAGTCACACACGTACCCCAGGGGGTTCGCACTGGCAGGAATACGCAAAGCCAACCTGACAGTGGACGCGAGGCTGCCACGTCACACGTCTTCCGCAGCCAGCAACTTAGAGCTAGGAAAGACCAAACCTTCATGCCAGTGGTTAAAAAGAAATCTTTATTTTACAAAATTAAAAACATAAATAATATTTACAACATCTTAAATACCAGTTTATAGCACTTGACATTTTTTAATCGAGTTATTCCATAAGCTTTTAAAAAGACTATCCTTCCACTTTAGCAAGGTACCAGTTTTTATTTTCGCCATTCAAGAGGTTTTTTTTTTATTTTTCTGTCTATCCTGCAGTCATTCAAAGAAAACACTGTACTTTTAAAATGACTAGTTCTAAATTCAAAGTCCTGAGTTTCCGACCCCAGTGGTGGGATGTTACTTACTCCAAGAGATCTCTTTAAGCCAGATTCCTTTACTGCCCTGGGTACAAGTTTAAAGAGCCGCGTAACCTGGTACTCCCGTTAACCCACACTCCGACCTCCTCGGGTCTGTGAAAGGAAAAGCAAGGGAGACGAGGAGGGAGAAAACGACATCTGAAATCATGTTTCTGAAAACATAATTAAGACCCCAAAATCTCATCTTACTCATCTCCTTCAGATCGAGTCCAGGACATTTCATTATCTGAAAATTTAAAATGACTTCAGGTGGTGCACGAACAACAGCCAGTCTCCGTGGCACAGTGGGACAGACGTCAGGACGCACCCGTGACCCACTTCATACCACCCCAGAGTTCATCGGGGGAACAGTTAGTAGAACTGTCTACGCTTCAGCACTGGGCAATTCATTTCTATGTAGTAATAGGTAAATAAAGACTAACAAAGTGGGAGGAAAGCCAGCGTCTTCAGGAAGGGTCCGAAAGGGGGTGGGAGCCGACACCCAGAATCTCTCAACCGCTTCCAAGAACACCACCTTGTACCATTTCCTCTGGAAAGCTTCCGCTGAGAATCATCATCTTATCCGAGATTAACAACAAATTTAAAAGAAAAAGAATGACAACAGGTAAGAGTTATACACATTTTACTCGTTTGTGTCCTGGATATTTAAAATAGTGTCAAAGGAGCTGTGTATGGATGCTGGTGACAGGAGGCAGCTGGAGAGGAGAGGTGGGGATGGAACAGGGAGACCTGCTTACAAATTCAGAGCCAACTCCCCTCTTCTGGATCTAAAATACAGACATCTTTGCCTTCGGTAAAACACAAGTCTTCCTGCCGCGCCGGACGGCCGGCTCGGCCTGCTGCGAAGCGCGCTCTCGGGGGAGGTGGGCGGGGGACAGGAAGCACCGTGTGGGCGGCCGCCCGGCAGGGCCGCTGCGGTCACTGCGGCATGTTGTTGATGGCCAGGATGCTCATCTTCTCCTGGGCGGAGTCCACGTCTTCATTCTGCTTCTGGGCCACGCCCGTGCCCAGGCCGTAGAGCCGCCCGCAGTACTTGGCATCATCTATGCTGTCCTCAAAAAACAGCTGCAGAGCAGGACAGAGAACCGTGGTGAGGACAGCGCAGGACTAACCCTGCCACAGCACACGCCCCGCTCCGCACGGCGGAAACCCAGCGCGCCGGAAGCCAGCCTGGCAAAGCGGCCCGGCCCGCCTCCCAGCGCCCGCCGCCCCTCGTCCTCCTGCTCCTTCCTCCACACAGCAGCTGCTCCCAGCCGGCCCCCGACGCTGCACGACTCCTCTCACTGCGCAGCCGCCGCCCGTCTCCTTCAGACGAAGGCAACGCGTCAGCGCGTGGCTCTGGACTCTGACTCACTGCGTGACACTGGTGGTCACTCCAGCTCTTTTGAAGGTTCCTCATGTGTCCCTCTTTTAAGGTTCCTCGTAGAAAAATCTTGATATAGTAACAGGGTTGTTATGAGGAATGAGACAATGAATATTAAGCACGGCCGAGTTGAGGGGCGCACACCTGTAATTCCAGAACTCTGGGAGGCTGAGGCAGGAGAGCCCCGCCTGAGCAACTTAATGTTTTAGAGAGACCTTGTCTAAAGGAAAAAATAAAAAGGGTTGGGGATATAGCTCAGTATAAAGGATCTGGGTTCAATCCTAGGTACAGCAAAAAAAAGCAAAAAAAGCACTTCCTACAGGTGTTCCAACCTCAGCCCTCCTGGGCGTAACAATTTTTCTGGTGAGCCAAGCATAATTCTGTACTTGGCAGGGGCTGCCCAGTGTATCGGGGGTGCTTAGCAGCACCCCTGGCCAGCAGCACACTACCCTCCCCACCATACTGTGACAACCAAAAATGTCTCCAGACCTTACCAAGTACACTATGGGGAGCAAAACCACACAAATTTGAGAACCACAGTCTCCAAATGCTTCTGTTATTTTGGACCTTGAATGTCCTCCAAGCCTCCAAGGCCTTGTGCTGAAGGTCGGCCTGGGGCACTGCTGAGCTGCGGTGGAAGCTTTAGGAGGCAGTGCACCGAGGAAGAAGTGAGGCCTGGGGGCGCATGCCTCAAGGGGGTACTGGGACCCCAGCCCCTCCTCACACTTCCTTCCCTGCCGCCACAAGGTGAAGACCCCGCTTCCATCTGTTCCCCACCATGCTGTTCTGCCTCCCCGCAGGCCCGTGAACAAGGGAGCCCCTGACTACAGACTGAAACCTTGACGCTGAGAGCCAACATAAGCTTTTCCCCTTTCACACGATTACCCAGCCAGGCATCTTGTCACAGCAGAAGGAAACTGACTGACACAGAAAACCGGTATCAAGAGGTCAGGCCACTGCTGCGCCCGTACCTCACAATGGGGTTCAGAAGCGTTTGGGACTGGTCTGTGGGATGAGCTCAGAGAAGTGGACGGCTGGACGAGCCTACAATCGCACTAGAGGCAGAGCGTCACAGCGGGAGCGCAAGTGAACAGAACACTGCTAAGAATGCAGATGGTGGAGTCTGTGTAATGAGGTTTCAGATGGAAATGACATGGGTTAGAGGTCACCTGTGTTACAGTCTATCAAAGAACTTGTCTACACTTTGAGCATGCACTGACTCGGTGGCTGAACTGAACACATCCCCACTGGCCTGAACCACTGGTGGTACATGCACGACTGTCCCAGGCCAAAGCAGAGCTGCCCAGCCGTGAGACATGAATCGCGCCCGTCGTGAAGGACTAGCCCATCTGCAGAGGAAATTTCAAGGAGGCAGAGCTTCCAGGCAGCGGCAGGAGTATTAGTAATAGATTTCAGCCGGACTCCAGTGAAAATCTGAAGCAAAAATTAAAGCAGGAAGAAAACTTGAAAATCTTGCAGTTTGGCCAGAAAAGCATCACCTTGAAAGCTGAGACAAAGGAGAACAGAAGATGTTGTCGCTAAAGAGATCAATGCCATGAAAAGGAAGCCAAGTACTTTGCATCAGAGCAATAGGAAAGCATCTCTGGGGCATCTCAGGAATCAGCAGGCTCAAAGACCTGGCTGAGAAGCAAGCCCAGATGCCTTGCTCACACAAGGCTGCGTGGGAACTGTCTCCGCTTTCCTGTGTTCAGCCGTCAAGGCCAAGATTCAGCCCTCAGAAGCCAAGACGCCAGACAGCTCTGCAGCCATGATTCAAGGAGACGCACACACGGCGTAGGGGCACTGGCAAACCTTGGTGTCATCCATATGATGCCAGGCTTGCAGGTACTCAGGACATGCGTTTCGTAGGTACTCTTCCCCTGAGATTTCAAAGGAAAGCCTGGGAGGCCAGGCAGGATATGGCAGGCTCAGGTCCCTAGCAGTCCTTACAGGACGAAGCATCAAACTGATACGTGACGTCGGGATACTTGAAGCCAAAGCTGCAATGGAGACCCAGGAAATTAAGAGATCCCAGGAGCATGGAACATCTGCAAAGGGAATCCACAGAGAACAAGCAAAACTGGCCCAAGGGATGACTGTGTGGGCTATAGCCAGGGGGTGGGGCTGCCCCAGCCCTCTGGGCTTACACATGCCACCATGTGCATCAGATGGTAGATGCCGTACAGAATTTCAGGTCTGTACTGCTGGGTTTAGATTTTGCTTCGGTCTGATCCTCCTCCTCTTTGTTCTTCTTCCTTACTTTTGGCCACTGTATCTTGGATATAATGTGTTCATTCATTTTTTTTAAATTTGTGCAGTACTGGGAATTACACCCAGGGCCTCATACATGCTAAGCTAGTGCTCTACTGCTGAGCTACAATCCCAGGATTTGTTTTCTTGTGACAGTGTCTTGCTAAGGTGCCCAGGCTGGCTGCAATCCTCCTGCCTGAGCCTCCCAAGTAGCTGAGATTACAGATGTACACCACAAGGCCTGGCTGTTCTTTGTATTTTTAAAGGGGCTCACGGCTGAGTTTGCCTTGAGTCTCAGAGACAACTTTGGACTTGGGCGCTCAAGCAAAGTTGGAACTATTAGGACTTTTGAAGACAGACTAAATGCATCCTGCATTGTGAGACGGACATGCGCCTCTGGGGGGCAGAGGCAGCATGTCACGGTGTGGACCCTAACTGTCCTCCAAAGGCCATGTGTTAAGGCGCGGGGTCACCTGCCTGTGGCACTACTGGGAAGTGACGGAACCTGCAGGAGGCAAGGACTGGCAGAAGGCAGTCGGGCTTAGGAGCGTGCCCTAGAAGGAGACACTGAACCCAGTCCCTTGTCACTATCCCTCTCTTCCTCCCCCTCCACCTCTATCTGTCTCTATTTCTATCTTTTTTTTCCTCTGCTTCCTGGTTACCATGGGTAAAAAAAGATACGTCCTACACAGCACCTGCCATGCCGTTCTGCCTCACCACAGGCCCAAAAACAAGGAAGTGAACAGATCATGGACTGGAGCCTCTGAAACTGTGAGCCGAAATGAACTTCACCCCTTTTAAGTTTAGTAGCACAGGTGTCTGAGTGATGGAAGTGATGGAAGGATGATGGATGTAAGTTCTCAGCACACAGTACTACTCCACAGCTGTGGTTCATGATTAAGCGTAACAAAGAGGAAACGTACTACCCCTTACCACCCTCACTGCTCCAAAAAGGAAACCCTTCTCTACACAGAGTTATCTGGTTCTGTTTTTGGTTTTTTTTTTTTTGGTACCAGGAATCAAACTCATGACCTCAGGCTTGCCAGGCAAGCACTTATGCTGCTGAGCTACATCCCTAGCCCTACACAGATTTATCTGATTCATTCCCTGTGTCAATAAAATCATCATTACATTCAAAGCCGTTCCCCACTGCCTCTCCCACTTCAAATACATTTTAAAACAAGAGTGGGTAAGAAACTGAGAGAAATTCAGTCTTCATTAATGAGTTGTAAGAAGCTCGTATCATATAAAATAATGAACAGGGGCTGGGGATTTAGCTCAGTGGCACACCGCCTTCCTGGCAAGCTCGAGGTCATGAGTTTGATTCCCAGTACTGGGAAAAAAACCAAAAAACAAAACAAAACAAAAAAATAGTGACCAGAACTCAGCATAACATAAACAGGTAGTCTCACAAATGTGTTCCTATTCTATAAATAAGAAAACCAATAATTGAAAAGATTACAGCATCTAGGAACACCAAGTACGTACACTTGAGTGTGCCCCAGGACAATTAAGAATTCCACTTCACAATGCTCAGGCTTGCCTCACAAACCGTGTCTGCTATGCTGGCACACCCTCACAGACAAACACTGTTTTCAGGGTAGCCGCTAACTTCCAAAAGAAAACGACCGATGTTCAACAAACTTCAGCAAGTTATGTACCGATCTAATTCTGGACAGCAAATCTCTTTAGAGAGGCCCTCACGATTAGTGGAGCTTACCTCCTTCATCCTGAAGAATGCCATTCCCGTCAGCAGCGAGTCTGAGCCCGCCTGGTGTTGCCTTCCAATTCTCTGCAAATCCAACTGATCGGCAACTTCCTGAAGACCTCCCTAGAGATGTACGGAGAACAGAACATTACAGAGACACTGCTACTACGCCGGACTCAACTAGGACCACTTGTGAGTCCGCGTCATGGTGGCAAGAAGCAGGACAGCCGCTTATTTACAGGCCTCAGTCTGCTCCTTCTAGCCCTTCGCTCTTCTCTCCTCCACTCCGGCTATGTGACACCCTACGTGTTGCTCCTTTCTGGCTAACTGTGCCAGCCTTAAGCCCTTAAAATCAAAGCTGCTATAAAACAAGGCTGAGGAAATGGTAAATGCCAATTCAGTTAAGCACTTACGTCAACAGTGCAAGAGGAGGCTGGCGTGGGCTACGTGCCTGTCACCCCTCGCCCCAGCAGGCTGAGGCAACAGGATCCCAAGCACAGCTCCAGCCTGGGCAGCCTACTGACTCAGCAGGACAGTACATAAATACTAAAATGAAGGGCTAGGAGTCCAGTCCAGAACGAAGGCCCTGGGTTCCATCCACAGTACCACCGCAGGGGAAAAAATCACAAAGGTCGTACTTTCTTTATTCTTCATGCTGCCAACTGTTTACCAAGGTTCGGGGCACTCAGGGGCAGGGTGCTGCCTTACATGAGAGCAGCAGAGGCCTCCTTTCACCCGCCACCGCACAGACGGGCACCTGTGCCGCACCAGCCTCTGTGCCAACGCGCTCCGTCACACCGCACCTGAGAGAGGTGGCACCTAGCAGGCACACACACGCCCGCCGAACACCCAGCAATAAAGCTCAGTACGTCTGCGTGCTAAAGTCAGTCTTTTCTGTTAGTAGTAAGGAAAAATGTTGTATACCTTAAGATTTTTGCAACTCTTCATCAGATATTTCACATCATAAATGGATGGGAAGAAAAGGTTCAGAATATGAAAGAATTCATGTTCTTCTTCTGGCAAACGAGAATCTGTAAGCAACTTTACCATGTAGCCAAAATCATAGCCGCTGCAGGGAGAAATGAAGCAGGGAGGTAAGAAGGCAGCAGTTACTGGCTCCGGTGCTCATCACTTTAGTTCTCAAGGCTTTTATGGCAAAAACTTCTAGTCTTCCACAGCATAGCCTGCTATAACCCCAACTTTTCTATTAAGTAACAAAATATAGTAAGCTATTACAAGCAATATACAAGAGAACCGAAGGGTCTATAAATGTGGATTTCATTCACCAAAATCAAAAGGTAAAAATATATCGCTACTACAGTTTGTTTAGATGTCCCCTGAGAGCCTCATGCTCTCATAGGTGGGGCTTGTAGGAGTAACTGGATCATGGGCTTGTAGTACTGGATTAGTCCACTGACTGGTCTAGCACAGTTCTGGGTGTGGACGATGGGCTTATTGAAGAGGGAGGACCACCCTGGGTATGGGTGGCATGAACCAATAGGCTTGTAGCCCAGATGGAATACAAAGGGAAAGAAGAAGGAAGTCTTGCTGCCCCCTGCCTGCCACACCATGAACTGCTTCTCCTTTGTGATGCCCTCTGCCGTGCCGCCCTGCCCTGGAGCCAGCCAGCTATGGATTGAACGCTCTACACACTGCGAGCTAAAATATACCTTTCCTCTTCTGACCTTGGGTATTTTGTTCTAGCAATGAGAAAGTAACTAAAACAGTCACTTAAAGGGAATCTGCCTTCTGAGTACTTCAGAAACCCCAGGACAAGTTAAAAGACAACCATCCTCCTGCTCTGCACTCAGAATTACAGTTGCTGAGGGCCTCATGATGAGCCCAAAACTTTGTGCAACAAACTAGTATGAGCAACAGTGGATTTTATGACAAAACAAAACACAAGCAACACCCATCACTTCCAACTTCTAACTGCTGCTCTGAGCAGAACAGGGCCAACAGGTCTGCCGAAGTAGTATTCAATTCCCTGCTCTGCTCGAGCACAGGCGCACGTGAAGGAGGACACATGTTGTCTGGGACTGACCTGTGAAACGAAAGCCACTTGACGTTGTCACAGAGAACCACTCCCGACGTCATAAGCAGCTCCGCAAAGTGCAGTGTGTCAATGCCTTCCTCTTCATGCTTCTGAAACTGCAGTCCTGAGTTAGCAAGGAGGTCTATGGAATCCTGGGAGTACATGTCCTCTCTACAAAACAGCGTGTGCACTTACTAGCTGGTACATAATGAAGCAGAAGTAGCAGGCAATAGTATCCCCATCACTGTATAATTATAGTACAGGTATTCTCCAGGTGCTTTTCACAATCAAAAAATGTACCAACAGGGAGGGGAGAGAGGTTGACGGGAGGGTACAGAAATGGGGAAAAAAAAAAGAATCAAGTTACATCATGTACAGGTACAAATTCCCTATAATGAATGTGATCATTATATATTCCTAAAATGTACCAATGAACTTAATTTAAAAATAAAAATATACTAATTCGTTCTTTCCTGTATTCCAGCAAGCATTTAAAGCAGATAACCTTATTTCTGTGATAAATGGGAAAATGGGATATTTCCCCAGACTAAATTTCCCAATTATAAAAGATCCAAATTTTCTTACTGTTGAAAAAAATTAACCAGTACAAAAATATTAAGATAGGAAAAAATTTTTAATTAATGAATTAGTGTTCATGTAATGGTACCCCACAGAAATAACAGCTCCTTTCCAGTCTATCTGCTCTGCCTACACATACATTTACACACCCCAGCATCTATGTCACAGGTTATCTTTCCAAATCAATACTACGGTAATACACCCATTGTACCTCTGACATAACATTGCTTTGTAAAGATATGCCAATTGACTTAACATGTTCCCACCTGCTTGAACCACAGCGGTGGTACATGCACGACTGTCCCACTGGGCAGCTTGTACCACTGGTGGATCAGAGCCTCCCAGCAACAAAACATATGAATGACAGCCCTTTGGTGAACATGTTGAATGCATGAATATGTATGTATAATACCACATAACACAAAACTAGGGAAATAATTAAGTCAAGTAGCTCCTTTCCCACTGTATTTCACAATTCTGTTTTCCAAACATACTTGAGTTAAATAATCATGAAGAAAACTACCTCATTCTTGAAAGATTCAGATCATCTCTCAAAATTATCTGAACACCAGATTTCCAAAATATATGAACAGTCCAAAAATTATTCCTGAGGTATCAAAGGATCCTGATGCTAAATCAAAAAAGCCAATAGTGACCCTGTGTGGTGGTTCATGCCTGTAATCCCAGCACCCAGGAGGCAGAGGCAGGAAGACTGCCATGAGTGTGAGGGCAGCCTGGACTGCACAGTAAGTTTAAGACCAGTCTGAAATACATAGCAAGACCCTATCTCAAAAAAAAAAAAGAAAAAAAAGAACAAAAAAGGCAGTATAGTACCCAATACAATATACAGTACACACCATCACATGCAATCATGAGTCTCCTCGGTATTTTCTCCTTAACAAAATTACACCAATGAACAGAGCTATCATATGACCAGCTGGGTATACTCCCAAAAGAATTAAAGGCAGGGTCTCCAAACAAAATGTGCACACCCATGTCACAGCAGCACGATTCACAATCACCAATGGGTAGAAGAAATCCAACTGTCCACTGGCAAACAAAATGTGATACACAGATAATGAAAGACGAGTCTTTAAAAGGAAGGAAATCCAGCCACGGGCTGCAACATGAATAACCCTGCAGGACGTTAACATAGTGAAATGAGCCAGTCAAAAAACCAAACACCGATGATTCCACTTGTAGGAGTGTCTTGGTCACTGTTCTCTGGTTGCTGAGACAAAATACCTGACACCCAGAATGAAGGAAGGAAGGGTTTATTTAGCTCAGTTTGTGGAGGTTTCAGTCTATACTTGGCTGGCTCCAAGGCAGAGTGGCACATGGCAGAGGGCAACAGTTCATAGCAGTAGAAAACAGCAAAAGCAGCAAGAGCAAAAGGGAGGAGCAGCAGCAATAAACAAGCCTTTCCCTCCCTTATATTATACACACTACCCACCCTAAAGTGGGTGTAGCACTCACACCCAGAATCCCAGCATTGGACCATGAGTCAATCATAAAGCCTAGAAGCCCGCCCCATGACTGCATGAGGATTTGAGGGGACATCCAGACACAAACCGTAACAACGAAGTATCTGAAGTAATTATTTTAGAAACAAAGCACAAAGGTAGGTATCAGGCTCTGGGGCAGGAGGGACTTAATAAATAGTTTCAGTTTTTTGTTGGAGTTTTCTTTTTTGGTTTTTAGCTTTTTCAGACAAGAGCCTTGACGTGTAATTCAGGCTGGCCTTGAACTCCTGGCAGTCCTGCCTCAGCCTCTTGAGTGTTGAGATTAGAGACATCCACCAGAGTTTCAGCTTTGCTAAAAGAAAAAGTTCTGGAAATCTGTTTCACAAGCCAGGAATGGTGCCACACACCTATCATCCAGCCACTCAGGAGGATGAGGCAGGAGTATCACAAACTCAAGGCCAGCATAGGCAACTTAGCAAGACCCTGTCTCTAAACAAAATGGGTGCGGGGCAGAGTCCGGAAACATAGCTCAGTGGTAAAGCACCAGCCTAGCATGCACAAGGCCCTGGATTCAGTCCCCAGAAGAAACCATGAGGGTGGAGGGGAAGGAAGGGAAAGAAGAGGAGAGGAAGGGAGGGGAAAGGAGGAAAGGGGAGGCAGGGGAAAGGAGGAGAAAGAAACTAGTCTGCCTGAACGTGGAGGCCTACGGACAACGCTGAAAGTGTCTCAGATACTTACGTAAGGTTGAATTTGAAGTTGAACTGCCAAGTGTTGATTCCAGAAGGATATTCTCCCTTCTCATTTGTGAACGTAAGGCCCAGCTGGATAATTTTTAAAAGGTCAACATTGCACCGCAGAAGCTGATACTGATAATCAATGGAGCTACGAAATTCACCAATTGGACGGACCACAACACCTGGAAATTCTGTGTCCTAGAAAACGGAAAAGTCTCACGTTATAAAGCAGGGATGGCGAACCTTTCAGAGCTTTCAACGACATGAACAGCCCACTGCAGCACGTGTGCCGCCAGTTCACCACTGTTCTAAGGTTTCACAAAATAGGACACTGAATGATAACTCATAAATACATTTTTTTCTCAATTTATAAAAACTACATAAGACCCATGCTTGGACACAAAAACCTATCTTAAAATAATGATTGTGTTGATAGCTCCTGAAGCGATTTGCATGACTTAAAAATCTTAGGGTAAAAACTGCAGAGTTGGATGACTGTAGGTAGATACGCAATCGAAAACATTCTGAAAGCCATATTCAGCCTGAGTGAAAAGATGCGACAAAGTCATACAGACATGAATACTAAGCTAATGACCTACGCTATCAACCCTAAAGCAAAAGTCCCAAACTACAAGCCACAAACATAAAGGAATAAGGCAAGCTGGTGACAAAAACAGTAATGAGTCACAGGCACTGGAGTAAAATGAAGAGCATGTCCCTCTCCGGGATGGGGGATGGCGGGAGGTGGCAAAGGAGAAGTAAAAAGGCTCAAGATGCAGTATGCCCAAAAAAATAAATAAGTAAATAAAATAAGCCAGGCGTGGTGGTGCACACCTGTAATCCCAGCACTCGGGAGGCTGAGGCAGGAGGATCGTTGTGAGTTCAAGGCCAGCCTGGGCTACAAAGTGAGCTCAAGGCCAGCCTGAACTGCATAGGGAGACTTTGTCTCAAAAAGACAAAAGAATAAATAAATAAAGATGCAGTATGCATAGGTACCAGTTCCCGCAGTGAATGTACTCGGTATGTATCGCCAATGTACACTAATAAAGATGGGGAAGAGTTTTAAAAAAAAAAAAAAAAGGACCCCTTCCGGTCACTGCCAAAACGTGCCTCTTGCTCTCTAGCCACTCCACGGCCGGCAGGAAATGTGCACCATACAGTGTAAGATCTTCCCACTTTTCCACAGATGCCAGAAACCTAGAATTTAAGTGAGTTCTGATGACTTTTTTTGAGACAGGGTCTCACTTTATGGTCCAGGCTGGCACCAAACCGGGGGCAATCCTCCTGCCTTCGCCTCCCAAGCGCTGGGACTGTAGGCGTGTGGCACTACAACCAGCCCATGATTTTTACATGTCAGCAAACTTTTTTTAAAATTTCTAAATACACTGTTCTAGGGTAGCCCAGCTAGCTCAGTCGGTAGAGCATGAGGCTCTTAAATACATTGCACAGTCAAATTCACCATATCTGCGGTGCAGACAACTGACACAATTTCTGCTTTTAAGATTTGTTTTTTTGAGGCAGGGTCTTGCTATACAGTTCATCCAGGCCTTGAACTCACTTTATAGCCCATATTGGCCTCAAACTCATGGCAATCCTCCTGCCTCAGCCTCCCAAGTGCTGTGATTACAGGGGTGTGCTACCATACCCATCTGTTTTTAAGATTTTCAAACAAGGCTGGGGGCATAGAGGCAGAACACTTGCCTAGCAGGTGTGAGGCCATGGCCTGGATCCCCTGCACCACCAAACCAAAAAAGAGCAGTAACACTACAAAAAACCTTAAGGAACTACAAGTTACACCCCTCCTGACACACTAGCTATCCTGATGTTTTATAAAAACAATCCAAACTTTCATCAACTTTAACTTACTGGAATATAATTAGTTCTTCTCAAAATCTTACATGAAACATTCCCTAAACCCATATAAGGGGCGTCAAATAGAACAGAGCTCCTTACCATGGCGATGTAACTGTAACTGAGCACAATTTCCCGGATCTTCCTCATCTCTTCTTCTAGATTGCTGGCCCAGACTTCACAGATAACCTGGCTATTCTCCACAAGTGCTGCAGGCATCCTGAAGAAATCTCAGAAGTCGCTCTTAGGTACTATGTGAAGGTACAACCACAATCTGATCACCAGTTTATCTGACCTAGATTTAAAAACGTATGTGAAATCACGTAAGTACACAATGATACCAACAAAATAAAGACAGAACATTTGTTTTGAAAATATTTTACCACTGACAGAACAAGGAGGCAGATATGAACTGCAGTGCTGACAGCAACAGCTGGGCCCAGGCAGGAAGTCCTGCAGCACAGGGTGGGTATTACGGTTGGGGTCTGGACGTCCCCCCAAAGCCTCATGAGGTCACAGGGCTTTTTCAGCGGTGGCTGAATCTGGAGTGTGATCCTGGGAGGAAGGGTGTGTGCTTACGAAATCAATCCACTGATTGGTCCGGCACAGTTTTGGCTAGGACTAAGGGTGTGAGTGCTACACTGGCCCTAAGGTAGGTACCTGCATATAAGGGACAGAAAAATCTTGTCTTCTCCTGTTGCTTTTTGTCTTCCGCCGCCATGAACTGTTGCCCTCTGCCACGTGCCACCCTGCCTTGGAGCCAGCCGACTAGGGACTGAAATCTCTACAAACTGTGAGCTAAATAAATCTTTCCTCTCTTAACTTTAAATATTGGGTATTGTGTCTCAGCAATGAGAAAAGTAACTACGATGGTGGGCTCAACACCCTGACTCTACAGTCTCACACCATCCCCTGTAGGCACGCCGAATCTCACACAAGTGTCTCACACCGAGTTACATGGGTCTGGGTCAATGCATGGAGACCTGGGGGGCCTCAAGCCTTATCCTGACCCTATCAGATGCCATCTGAGCTGTTCAGGCCTCATCTACACATATTTGCATTGTGGTTTTGACCTGCTTCCATGGGATCTGGCCACCAGGTTCATTCGTGCCAAGACTTTATAAGCTCTGACACTCCCCTTCCCGACCTGAGGGTGCAGCCCCCACCCCATTCCAACTGCTAAAAGTCCTGTCTGCAACACCTCTAGCCCCGCCTCCTCCAAAATCCAGGCGAAACAAAAGGTAAACTAACCCCGGACCTCACTGCTGTTGTCATCTCTGGCTCTGCCTGCTGGGACCCTCCCCAGTGTACTGTCCTCTCCAACAAACTACCCCAAGTCTCTCCGTGCACCTGGCCTTTCCCCAAGCTGCCCGCTGGGTCTCTGCCAGGTGTAGTACGCCTACCACAGACAGCTGCTGCCTCTGGCACTGCCCATTCTCCCTTCTTGAGATGTACACTGGCCCAAATCAAGCGCTTGCTTAATATTACACTTGGCTCCCTGAACCCACAACTTCGGACACTGGTCTCCTTCCAGGGACCTCCTCCCTAATCTTGAGGACGGTCCAAGAATCAGGACGAGCTGCCTGATACAGACACAACACAAGCTGCCAGCCCAGGCAGACCCAGCAATCCAGTAACATTTACTTCCTTCACTGATTTAGGCTAACATGTTGTGATTGCTATATTTACTCTCCATTCTACGGGATATGTCAAGACGGACAGGAAAAAACTAAAAACACTGGAGAAATTTTTGCCCAAGTACCCTGAACACAGAAGGGAAAACTACCCCAAACCAGTTTTCAGTGCTCTGCCGACTGCCTGAAGACTAAAATAGTCCCCTTTGACCACAAATATGCTCTTATCTATGACTTTCATATCACTCTGCATGAAGACCCAATCGTGGAAATATTTCTAGAAAAATGATCACTTTCGCTGCTCGAAATGTAGCTGGGACCTCAGAAAGCCTGAAATAACATGGACCTAAACTCTCATACTCCTCCTTACACCCATGATGAATAAGGGCAGAGGCCGGGTGTGGTGACACACGCCTGTAATCCCAGCACTCAGGAGGCTGAGGCAGGCGGATCGCTGTGAGTTCGAGGCCAGCCTCCACTACATAATGAATTCAAGGCCAGCCTGAACTACACAGTGAGACTCTGTCTCAAAAAAAAAAAGAGAGGATGGCAGGTATAAGTAATTTAACTAGAAACAATGATTTACAGTGTACCTTCCAGGATGAAATTGGAGAAGGGAGGTATTCCACAAGATAAAATCCAACACCATCTGACCTCAGATTAATGCTATTATTTCAGCACACTCAACCTGAGAGTCTTAGTTATAAAAACATCAAGAAAGAAGCTTATCCTAAGAGCATTTCCTTCTAAGGCAAGCCAAAGACACAGACCGTCAGTGTAACGGTGAACATGAAGTGAACATGAGCAGTTCCCAAAGGAAGTCTTTGCTTTCCATTTTCAAGATTGCCATATGCCGCTTGGGAGGCTGAGGCAGGAGGGCTGCTGCAAGTTCAAGGCCAGGCTGGCTTACATAGTGAGTTGCAAGGTCAGCCTGAACTACACAGTGAAACTTCAAACAAACAAACAAACAAACAAAAAAGCCAGGAATGGTGGCACGGGCCTGTAATCCTAGCACTCAAGAGGCTGAGGCAGGAGGATTGCTGTGAGTCCAAGGCCACCCTGAACTATATAGCAAGACCCTGTCTCAAAAAAAAAGACTGGCAAATAGAAGGAGAATCTGGAACAAAACAAGACTGGCAGCCGGGCATGGTGGCGCACGCCTGTAACCCCAGCACTGGGGAGGCTGAGGGAGGATTGTTGCAAGTTCGAGACGAGCCTGGGCTACAAAGTGAGCTCAAGGCCAGCCTGAACTACATAGTGAGACCCTGTCTCAAAAAAAAAAAAAAAAAAAAAAAACAAGACTCGCATTTTCAAATTGTCAGCAGACTTTAAAGATTATATTTATTCAAGGCACCTTGATTAATAAATAGATTACCTGGTATCTCCCCAACAAACACAGGCAGAAATTTCTTTTTGGGGGGAGGGGCGGGGGACAGGGTTTCACTATGCAGTTCATGCTGGCCTTGAACTCACTCTGTAGGCCAGGCTGGCCTAGAACTAACAGTGATCCTCCTAACTCAGCCTCCTCAAGTATTGGGATTAAAAGAAGTGCCACCAGGACCACCAGAAATATCCTTAACGGCAGAACTCATGTCTCTTATTTTACTCCAATTAAATACTTACAAATGAACAAAGGAAAGACGAAAGTTCACACTGAATCCACCGAAGTGGGAAGGAAATTTCTATCTTACCATAATAAAGAAAATACTGGAACTGAACTTTCGATTCCTAACACGCCTAAGATTTTCCCCTGTAACAGGCATTAAAACCATTTTCTATGCCCATTTAATGTTAAATTGAGGTCACTTCCTTACTCCCCTCACTGAAACAATGAGCTTCCTCTTTGGTATCATTTCAAATACAACCAAAAGTTAAGAAAAGAGGGTATCATTCCTAGGCTTTTGAGATACATTTCCATAAAATCAAAAGCAACAAAAGGGACATTCATGGGAGAGTTTAAAAAAAAAAAAAAAAAGGCTTGGCCATTAAAAGAAAGTTCCGTTTTTTTGTTTTTTTGTTTTTATTTTTTATTTTTTTTCTGGTCCCGGGAATCAAACTCACGACCTTGTGCTTGCCAGGCAGGCACTGTGCCGCTGAGCTAAATCCCCAGCCCCAGTTTTGTTTTTTAAAAAACTAGTCACAGGAGACATAAAAACAAGAGGTGTTATGTACATGTACCAATTCCTCACAATGAATCTAATCATTATGTACTGCAGATTTTATGTACCAATAAAAATTTTTTAAACTTTTTAAAAATAGCCACCGTAAAGAAAAAAAACGAAGGCTGGTGCAGGAGGATCACTGCAAGTTCGAGGCAAGCCTGGGCTACAAAGTGAGCTCAAGGCCAGCCTGAACTGCATAGTGAGACCCTGTCTCAAAAAGAAAAGAAAGGAAGAGAACAGAGAAGAGAAGAGAAAAGAAAAGAAGCCATTATTACACATATCTGACAAGTGGGGCCCATGCAAGAAATTGCTGGCAAAAATCTGTAGACAGGGGCTGGGGATTTAGCTCAGTGGCAAAGCGCCTGCCTGGCAAGCGCAAGGTCATGAGTTTGATTCCTGGTACCAGAAGAAAAAAAAAATCTGTAGACAAACTTGCACTAAATCCTAAACTAGAAAATCTGTAGGGAAATAAATAGCTTGCAAGCCCCTGTAGCACCACCCAAAAATTGAAGAGCAATCACAAAGTGCACAGTTAATCTAGCAAGTCACATTACTGGACATGCTACCCAAAAGGAGACAGAAAGCAGCAGCTTAATATTAGCAACTGGGCTGGGGTGTAGCTCAGTGGTAGAGTGCTTGCATAGATGCTTCAGACCCTGGGTTCAACGTCTAACACCACAAAAACAAAGCAAAAAATACCATAAGCGTAAACATAAAAATGTTAAGGATCACAAGTTTGACTGTTAGCCAGAATAAATCTTTCCTTTTTTTACTTAAAAATAAAAAGCTCGGGGCTGGGGATTTAGCTCAGCGGCAAAGCGCTTGCCTGGCAAGCGCAAGGTCGTGAATTCGGTTCCTGGTACCGGAGAAAAACAAAAAAACAAAAAAACAAACAAAAAAAAAAAATTTAAAAATAAAAAAAAAATAAAAAGCTCAACACCAACCTGGGCTACACAGCAAGTTCCACATAGTGAGACCCCGGCTCCAAAAAAAAAAAAAAAATAAAAAACACCCGGGGCAACAAAGAAAGTTCCACATAGTGAGACCCCGGCTCAAAAAAAAAAAAAAAAAAGCAGCTGACCTGGCACTTTCCACTCAGTGAGCACATGCTCCGGAGCCAGCCTAAGAATCACAAACACGCCACTCACTTGGTTTGTCTTCCTTCTTTTAAGCCTCTCGGTGCCAGCAGTGCTGAACAGCTATGTTTATTTGTATAATGAAGCCCTTAAAGATAACCTAGGTTGTCTCAGTTACAACCACAGAAACGGTAATTAAGTCTCAAAGCTAAGAAAAAGAGCTAGATAGTCTCAGACCTACACCGGCACTCTCACTCCATGCACCTTCTAAGGAACCCTTAAGGATAATTTTGACCGCATGCAGCGTCTGCCTCACAGGCTGACTTTAAAACTTGACTCCCGCATGAGCCACCCTTCAACTGTGCAAGAGGGAAAGATGTTCACAGCCACAGCCTACAAATGACCAAACTACCACGGCCCCTGCGCTGTGCTGACCTGCAGGACAATCTGTTCAGATGGCTTCTGGCGATCTACTTATTCTATTGTGCAAACTTCTAAACAGAACGTAAGCTTCTTCATCCAGCAAAGCTCTGAAGAGCAAGTAATAACATCACCACCGGCAAGTTTTCCCTGCAAGCAGTCCAGAGTACTAGGCTTGCCTGGGAAAAGAACACTCAGTTGAGGCTCTGGTTTTTCTGGTTTTGTTTTAGCCTAACTATGCAAAGGAACAAGAAACATCATACCCTACTCTAGAGGGCTGAACAAGGGCTCTTCCCTGCACAGACAGATGGAAAATGAAGTAGCTGCAGGCTAGAAAAAATGAAAGCAGGGTCCTTCCTACACAAGGACCCCAGACGCCGGCCCTCACTGTCGCCCTGCGGTGTCTGAAGACGATGCCCTGCCCTGGCCACTGTCCTACCAGTTCTTCAACCCACCCAGAGGCCCGTCTGAGAGCCCGCTCCTGCGGAGCGGCTGCTTCACAACGCCACGCAACAGCACAGAGAGCTGTGGGGCCGCGGGAACCCAGGGGAAGGAGCCGACTTAGAATGGGGGCAGCCAAGTTCCGAGCCAGGTCTCCCGCCCCGTCTCCCGTCGTCATTCTCTCCCTCCCCGACACTCATCCCCTTTCTTTTCTCACTTTTCTGACTTCTTTTCTTAGTTCCTCTTTGTAAGGCACCGATGTCAAGATGACAGGCCTCTGCACCGGACAGCGCTCAGTTCGACGCCTGGCCACTTACTGTGCAGCCTCGCGCAAGTGACTTTCTGTGTCTCCGTTTGCCGCTTGTAAAATGGGTCTGATAGCACCATGCACCTCGGAGGACTGCAGCAGGGGTTAAACAGAACAGCGTATAAAGGATGCCCTGCTAAGTCCTGGCACCCATCACTAGCAAATTATTATTGTGTGGCGCTCTCCCCGCGACTTCCTCTGCTCACAAGCCCGCCCCTCCCGTACGCCTCCCCCAGGCTCCCTCCCGCGGGCCCCTGACGGCCTCCCACACTCTTTCACCTCCCGCTCCTCCCTCCGGGGAGGGGGACCCGCTTACCCTAACCGGCAGAGCCAGCCAAGCGTGGGCTGGCAAGCCGGGGGCAGCGACAGCAACCCCGGAGCCGCAGATCTCCACCCTCTGCCCCGGATCTGTTCCTAGAACCGATCGGCCCAGTGAGGTAGGGTCCCGAGGCCCAGAGCGGCCTCATGTACCGCCCAAACAACCTGGCTGCGTCACTCTACCCATCCGATCCTCCAGACTCGCCTGCTCTCTTGCGTCACCCCGGGCGCGCGCGCACCTACTCAACTAGCCCCTCCTCCGTTGCGCGCCCTAGGGACGCCCGGCCTGGTCGCTCAGCCCAGAAGCTTCCGGAAAGTAGTGCGCAGGCGCAGGACTCCGGAAGAGGCCTGTGGAAGGCGGCTCACCTGAGGCTTCCGCGCGGTTACCTCCGCAGCCCAGTTCCATCACCAACGCTACTCCCTTTTGGTCGTCCTTCCGCGCGCCCAGGGAGGGGGCGTGGTCTAGAACTAGTCGTCCCCTCGGTGGGCGTGGCCCAGGAGCCCCAAAGCCGAGGAAAGGGCGTGGTCGTCCAACTAACTTCCCCCTGGGGAGCTCGTGGGGGGCGGCGCGGCGGTTCTGCACGAAAGCGGGCCGCGGACTCGGCCCTCGCCGCGGAACGTCCCCCGCACGGACTGCTTTCTGCACGCAGCTAGGTGGGGCCCGGCACCTCCAGGCCGGCGGGTGACGTCAGCCAGGCCTGTCCCGAGCCCGGAGCGCCCGAAAGACTCCGCCTTTGCCCCCGGGAGGGGTGCGGACGGAGGGCCTGCCCCCGGGAGCGCCCCGGAAGGAACAGTCACTCCTGAGCCGGCCCCCTAAACACATTTCCCAGAGTCCACCGCTGGAGCCTGGGCCGGAGCCCGAGCCGGCCCTCAGCGGCAGTGTCCGAGGGGATCCCCGAAAGCCTCTCTCCAGCGAGGGGAACCCCCAGCCCCAGCCGCCGGGGAAGAACCCGCCTCGTCTGTAAGCTAGGGACGCGAACTGCACTGTCCCAGGGGGTGAAGATAAAACAGTAAGTGGAAGAAACACCCGCGCCAGGGAAGACGCGCGCAGCGCTCGATGGACGTGTCGGCCTGGCCTGTCGCAGCCTGTTCTCTCTGAAACAGTCAAATGTGTGTTCGCTGCACTGCGACACTAACAAGTCCCTCAGCCGAGGCATTTGGGCCAAGGAAGACGACCAGTTCCCGAGTCATGTTCTTGCGGCTCTGGCTCCTCTCTCCGCTCCCGGCCGATTGGGAAGAGGGTGGCCCGTCCCGCCGGCGCCCCTCACTGAAGAGCACGCCTCGCCTTCCTTGGAGCTTTGTTTTTTCCTGCAGCCCTGGGCCTGGTGTGCACCCACACAAACAGGAAACAGCCTCTCCGTCCCCACCGCTCTCTGCTAGAACGGGGGCATTCCCTGCCCCCTTCATCCAAGATAAATACAAACCAGACGCGGATTGTATTTCAGAAGGCGTTGGAGTGTATAAATTTTAAACGGTGGATTTAATGCTGCCCTCATGCAATTACAAAATAGAGCAAGGGTGGATATCACTGATTCTCAATGGGAGAGAAGTACCAAACGAATGAGAGGGTCGCTGGAATGTATTAAATGATAAAGTTCACATTTGGAAACACACCTATTGTTTTTTGAACTGCACCCTATTAAAAAAAAAAAGGTTTGAACAGATTTTCTCAGTTTAGTGAATATAGTTTTAAAAATTGAGAAACAGTAGTTATAGAAAGGGGCTCCTTAAGAACCAGATCAGCGGGGCATGGTGGCGCACGCCGGCACTCGGGAGGCTGAGGCAGGAGAATCGTTGCAAGCTCCAGACCAGCCTGGGCTACAAAATGAGCTCAAGGCCAGCCTGAACTGCATAGCGAGACCCTGTCTCAAAAAGAGAGAAAAAAAAAAAAAAAAACCAACCCATACCAAAAAAAAGAACCAACTTGGAGGGACCATAACCAGCGATCCTGTCTGCCTGACAACAATCAAGATAGGGAAAATGGCGCCCTAGATGCATTGTTCTCACTTAAATCCTATTTGTCACCACCATGCAATGATAAAGAGACTAATCATTAAACTCGTGTGCCCCTGGAAGACCTCTCCTCTTCAAAAAAAAGTCATCAACTAGGACTATTGTGCAGTTGAACTTTAAAGATAGATATATACTCTGGGTGGTGGCACACACCTGTATTCCTACCTATTTTGTAGCTGAGACAGAAGGATCATGAGTTCAAGGTCAACCTGAGCAACACAAGCCCTCCTTCCCTCCAAATCTGATAAAAGATGGCTTTTCACGAAGTACAGACCTTGGCTATACCTGGGGGGAGGGGGAATTTTAAAGATGAATCGATCAATCGGCAGGCCCCTGAGTATATTTTTGAGATGTAGGCACAGAGTCACTTTTTTTTTTTTTTTTTTTTTTTTGAGAGTCACTGTTACTAACCTGGAAGTATTTACCTGCCGCCTTCTGCATTTTCACAATGTTTCAAACTCAAGTGCTTTTTTTTGTTTGTTTTTTTGGCCACCACACCCAGCCTTTTGTTTTGGTTTTTAGGTTTTTTGAGAGAGGGTTTTGCTCTGTGCTCCAGACTGGCTTCAGACTCTAGATGATCCTCCTGCATTAGCCTCACAAGGGCTGGAATTACTGGTGTGCCACCTTGCCTGGCCTTCAAGTATATATTTTATTTTATTT